TGAGATCATTTTTGACTATTATCTCTAATATTTCAGTTGGCTGTTTTTCACCTGGAAAAATATCTTTGAATGAAGTTAGTTCATTAAAGAGTTGTATACCGTCTATATCTTTCACGATATTTTCTTCCTCCCGTACCTGTAACTTAATATCTAAGTCCATGCAGGCTTTCATAAGGTTTTCATTAGAAATTTTATGAAACTCATACAGAAAGCAGAATATTGAATAGCACTCAGATAACAAGGTAAATCTTTCATTTACCGAGGAGATCGCGTGATCAAGAATTGTAAAATAGAAAGCAGTTTTGAACTGTTGGACGGGATTTGAAATTGGTTCATCACTACCCTCGTAATCAAATAAACGGGCCTTTTTCCTAAGCTTTGAGATGGGAAATTCAGGATCAGTACCTAAATCTCTAACAAGAGTTGTTGCTGATTCGACAAATATTTTAAAATTATCGTCAGATCTTTGAAATTCCAAATATTTTTTAAGATTGTCTAAGCCTTGAATGCATTCCGCGATATTCAATTTAGGATTTTGAAGCATTTTACTTAAGACATCAATTCTTGATAATAAATCATGCCAAATTAAAACTGAACACAAAAATTTAAATGTTTGTAGACTTTTAATAATTGATTTAGCACCCATTTTTGTTTTCGTGTCTCTGGTAGGATCTTCAATTAAGACATTTAATGCAGTAATAATGTTCTTTAGGTCTTGTTTTAGAGGTCTAATAGCATTGATACGGCTTTCCCACCTTGTTTCACTTAACGGTTTTAAAGTTAGACTTTTTACGTGCTTTTTTAGTATATCCCATCGATATGGGGACGCAGAAAAGTAATTATAAACCTCTTGTACTATATCAAAAAAGCCAGAAATTTCACCACTAGAGCTGGCAGCGTCATTAACGACGAGATTTAATGTATGAGCCGCACACGGCACGTATAATGCTCTAGGATTTATATCCAGAATCCGTTTCTGAAGCCCTATATTTTTCCCTTTCATGTTCGATCCATTGTCGTAGCCCTGACCCCTTATATCTTTAACTTCAAGTTGCAGACTAGGTAATAGCTTTTCTAATAGAAAATTGCACAGGCCTTCTCCGGTGGTATTAGTTATTGGAAAAAATCCTAGAAAAAATTCTAAAATATCTACCTTACCATCAGTAGTATTCACACACCTAATTACAAACGTTATTTGTTCTGTGTGACTAATGTCTGGTGTAGAGTCGAGAATAATAGCATAATATTTGGCGTTCTTGACAATTCGTGTTATCTCATTACGGATAGAGTCTGCTAAAATATTGATTATCTCATTTTGAAAATGCTGCCCTAAGTAGTGTGGAATACGGGTTTTGTTATCTTTACATTTACTGATATTATTAAGGTGTTCTGAAATAACTGGATCAAATTTGGCCAACATCTCTACTGCCTTTAAAAAATTACCATTATCTTTATGATACAACTTCGTACTAGTTCCTCTGAATGCCAAGTTTTGACTCGCTAAAAATTGTACTACAGCAATCAGTCTTTCAATGATGGCGCGCCATCGCTTTTTCTCCCTGTTGTAAACATTTTGTTGTTCCGCGTCAATAGTAATTTTTTTTTCCAGCCTTATCTTTAACTCGCATCACGATCTAATAGAATTTACGTGTTTTAGAGTATTTTCGTGCTTATTGAGGTAGTCCGAACAATGACGCCAATCAGAAAAGCCAGTATTTACAAGTTGTGTTGAACTAACTTTGCTAAACAATTTACATGCAAAACAAAAAATACGATTAAGTTTTATGGAATAGGAGAGCCACGCGCGATTTATTTTCTCCCCGTTCACTAAAGTTTTGATATAATATGAACTGCTAAATTTTCTGCCATCCTCATCCACCGGAAATTTAAAATTTGTTACTTGTTTGGGACCATGTTCTACCAATAAATCAATATATGTTTTCGTTAAAATGTTAGGCCAAGTACCTGGATCATCTAGGGCTATTTGAGCAGAATCCTCTTCCTTTTCAGTCTCATCTTCACATTCGGGCTCACTGGGAATGAAACTGTTTGATGATGTTGATGATGAACTTGCCATTTCATCGCCTTCATCAGGTGTGAGGTCCTTGGATTTGGTGTTTTTATCGTCATAAGTACTGGTGGATGGTTGTGAATAATCAAACACCGCATTTTGAATCAAATCTTTTTGTTCAGGTTCAGGTTCAGTTTTTTCCGGTTCTCTGAAATATTTTCTCAATGCTCCCGCTTGTTTAGAGATTTCTTCTATTCTTTTATTCTTCTCTTTTCTATAGAAGGCACCCGACTGTCTTTTAGTCTTTCTGGAAGACATCTAGAAAAAATTATAAGTAGTTTAAAAAAACAAAAAAAAAACGCTTTTACCGTTTAGTATAAAATAATATAATTTACCTAAAATGTTTAATAAAAAAGCGTAAGTAGGTGTATGCCTTTCAAGGAAACGCACTTTAAAGCGCCTCATTTTTTTATTAAACATTTTAGGTAAATTGTATTATTTTATACATTTTAGTACAGTAAAAGCGTGTTTTTTTAGTTTTTTACACTATAATCTATTTTTCATGTTTTTAGTTTTGGAATAAACAACTTTTTATTTATTTTTTATTTTTTTTAATTTTTTCCCCTTTCACCCTTTAGGGGATGAAATAACAACTTTTTTTCGCAAGTCATCTTAATTTATCGTAATCTATCCAAAAGTGAAAACCACATATCTCTAGATATCACTGTTCTCGATATATACAGAAAACTACCCCTTTCACCCTCTTAAGGGATTATTTTTTAGCAAATTATCTTTATATTTCACATTGCATTGTCATCGGAACTGAACCAACATGCCAAATTTCAATTTCCTTTGATAAGCGGAAGTGGTTCTAATTCAAGTTACAAGATTTATTACTTACATTTACTTATGCGGCCATTTGAAAACGAAGCAGCGTTAATTTTGGGCACCCCAAGGCATTTACGAAAAAACCCTCGGACACGTCGATTCTTTATCAAAAATCGACTTGTCCGAGAGTTTTTTCGAAAATGCATTGGGGTGCCCAAAATTAGCTCTGTTTCGTTTTCAAATGGCCACCCTATACTTACAAACTTACAAGTGAAGAATATAAAAATGTGTTAAAAAGACAAGAAATACGTAAGTATACCATCATGACTCAGAGATGCAATAAAACCAAAACTTTTTCAGAAATATTGAGATTTCTCGGAAAGGGTTACTCCTAGCGATGTTAAAGAAGTATATAAATATCATTACTTTTTTTGGTTAGAAAAACTGTAAGAATATGGTTTATCCCCATTCTTGTTAAAAAAATTAGAGAAAATTATAATTAGGTATAAATAATGATTTGTATTCGTAGCGCTCTTTAACGTCTAGGTAAAATCGAATACCAATTTATAATTACTCTCCTCAAAAAAAAACCAGTCGGTTACAGAATTTTGTAAGAAAGTAAATTAAATCACTTTTCATCAGCTTTTATACAAAACATTTTTCTCTAAAATGTAAAACAGGAACAGGGGACAGGAGAGTTAGTGTAAATTACATCAAATTAATAAAATAAAGTTTTATACTTACCATAATACACTATATAGTTTTGATATTCTGCCATGGAGATCTTCGATTTGAGTATCGGGACAGATCACGGAGAGATTCATTACGTTCGGTTATATTCGGTTACAATCGGCACGCCATCGCCAGAGCGAATCAGTTTACTACGATTTACAATCAAATTCTACGCAAGCATGTAGGGGAAATATAGCGGGGCGAGCAGAGTTTTCTTCCTCTTCAAGGACATTTCGAAATTCCCTCAGGTCAGATTTTTTTCCAGTAGCGTTACATTTCAGGGATTTTTTAACATATATTTTGTAAAATAAAAATGTTTTCTGTATCAAAAAAATGAATAACAACTACTTAACCTATTTTTAGTTTATTTAAATAACATAATAATATCCTAAGTGCATATTCACTAAATTTGTAAACCCTTTCAAAATAGGTAAGCTTGAGAAATAAAATAATTGAAAAATTTTGCTTGATTAATAAAAGTATAAAGGTAGATGCGGTCTGCGGCCGCCCCTTTTTTTGGCCGCCCGCGTGCGGTGCACGCGCTGCACACCTACTAGGATCGGCCCTGAGCCACCCTAATGCCATACAGTCCTCAGCACGTTTTAACCTATTACCTTAACTTCGGTGAGCTACCGCTAACTACGTAGATACATCTAATCACCTATTTTTTTTATCTGTCCTTCTAACGTCACACAATCTTGGACACAACTGTTCTGGACACGACTACTCATGCCCTCACCTAATACGCCATTTTGTAACGACATCCATCTTGGATTTAAAATTTTGTCATAATCACAGTATTCTACTAGTGTAGCCCTTTCATTTGATACCCATATTGAGGGAGTTGTGGAAAAATATGAAATCCGCCATTTTGTACCGGCGGCCATTTTAGATTTACAATGTTATTGATATTACTATATTGTATTGTCATCGGAACTAAAGGTGTACCAAATTTCAGATCAATCTGACAACAGGAAGGTACTTAAATTTCAATTTCTAATTTTGACCCAAATAAACAAACAAATAAATAAATACCGTACGGGCCGAGCTAAATAAAACCGTTTAAAAAATAAAGACTCTAACTTCCTGTGGCCGCGAAACAAAGCAGAATCGGACCTATGTTGATTTAAGGTATATAAATCTTATTTTTACATGAGGAATCTCCTCACGAGAGATAGCACGTGTTTTTTGAAACACCCTATATGTGTAGATTTTTTCTACCTGTCAAAATAAATAAAGAAAAGAAGAAAACAAAATTAAACTTTATCTGTCATATTTCCGGAAATCACAAAGATTATCAAGAGGGTCACAACAGGCAAATTTGTTCCAATTTAATCTACTGTGTATTTCTTATCGTTTTCGATATCCCAATCGTGAGAGCCAAATTTAAAACACCCTGTAGACATAATTCACAGAAAATATATTTTAGCTTCGCTGACATTTTATATCTTTGGTGCATACCAAGGATGGACTGCGCCTTCTCTGATAAAGCTTCTTTCTGATGAATATCCTATACCAATTACTCAAGACGAGGCGTCTGTCGTAGCAACCATAGGGTCTGCAGGTGATGTGGTAGGTGGCTTTGTGGGTGCATATTTGGCAGATTTGATTGGCAGAAAGACCTGCATTATGTGTATCGGCATACCGCAAGTAAGTTTTAAATATCTAGTTCTAGTGTAATCAATTTAAATATAAATCCAAGTTAAAAATACTTCCACGTGTAGCACGAGTTAGCATTAAAATAAAGTTGCACTTTCTGGCATTTCGTTTTCTGACAAGTGGGTACTAGGATGCTTATTTTTAATAGAAATGCTAATATTTTATGCAAATTAAATTCTAAACATACTTAGTGTTTAGTGTAATTTTTGTGTACAGGTTTTTGAAACATTTGTAATTTTATTCAAGAAAGTGAGGTTGAAAGGGTATTTCGCCACTATAAGAAAATCTACAAAATAAAATAGTTGTTTTTTTTTGTAAACACTGCTATGTTAATCCAACGGAGACCAATTTGTCAGCAGTGATTTACTAATAAACAAATTTGCGAAGCGGACAAAAATATTCTTAACGTTTCGGGAAGATCTTCGGTCTTCCCTTTGCCTGAAACAAAAAAAAAATACGAAGAACAAAGAAAAAGTTATTTAAAATAAATAATAACTACTAATAACTACTACTACTAATAAATAATACCATTTAGTATTAGATATAGAACATTGTACACAATGTGTTTAGACTTACTTGTGGAATTTTAAGTGCATACAATTTTTTGCTAATTCTGTATAAAACAAGCAAATTAATAGGAACTCTTGGCACCTCTTGGTTAAACTGGAAATGCCAGGGAATGATGAATATCTTAAAATGTAATTAAACGTTGAAATATGCTCATACTAAAAGATTTGCATTTAAATCTAGACCATCAATTGAATGGGCGAGTTGTTTGAAAATCCCTGGTATACAGGGTGGCGCCTCTCATACGCTGCGGAGGCTCTAAGGAGAACGAGAGTTTGTATTGAAATTAAATTTTGTGAGTATATTATGTAGGTTAATTCAGAGCACTTTTAAAAATATAGAGAGTTCTACAGGGTGTACAAAAAAGTTACATATGAAAGTTGTGTTTTTTGCAATGGAACACCCTATAAATTAACTGATTTTTGGATTTTGGGAGAAAAATAAAGGTGAGTTTTATAAGAGAAGTACCATATGACTAAAATGTAAGATTTTTGACATATTTAAGATTTTCTAGAAATAAAGAACAATTTTATTACAATAAAAGCTACCCAAATTGAAATATACCCAGTATAACATAATATGTAGTTAAATTAACTGTTGTACTTTAAATCAAATTAAAGCTTTATCCAAAAAGTTATACAGGCTGAGACAAAATTAATATTGAACATTGGTCACCTTCAAAAGTATTTTACTCTTTTATTTTAAATGGAACAACATCCAGGTTATTATTCCGATATTCAATGAAGAATTAATGTCTTTTCAAAATACTATTAAGGTTGTCTACCCTTCAAACAAAGATTTTCTTAGATATTTTCATTTACATGATTTGATCTGAGTAAATCTTTATTATTTGATAAAATCACGGGTGGCTGTGATATGTCTGACGTTATTTCAACATAGCTGTCTAATTAGTCTAACTTTAACAACTATATATATATCATTTTGTGTCAGTTAAAACAAAAAAAAATCTCAGAAATTTGCCGAAAATGCAAACTAATCCTACATCAGAGAGAATTGATATGATTGGTGAATGCAGTGCGCATTCACCAATTAATAGAATACTTAAATGCTCCTGATTTTATCTAGTCTGTTTTTTTATGGGGATATGTTAAAGACCGTGTTTTCAAAACTCGATCAACTATTGTCGACAACATGAGACAAATTATTATAGCTGCTTTTCAAGGTGTTATAACACATATGCCTTTTAAAATGAAAAGATCCTTTTGAAAAGACAATCATTTTATGCAGTTAACAAGAAAGGAAGCATTTTGAGCATTTGATTTCATCTAGCTAATTTTTGTTACATATAATTATAGGTTTAAATCTATTTTTAATTCTATAATAATTAAAATATGTTTTTAACGTGTATCTTTTTATTACTGTTGAGTATTTTACTCTACAATCTTTAATTTTTGTTAAATTAACAAAAGGTATATCACAGCCACCCTAGATTTTCTCAAATAATTGTCTAGATAAAAATAAAAATAAAGATCTACTGACGCAAAATCACAAAAATTAAAATATCTAGGAAAATCTTTGTTTGAGGGGTAGATAACCTTAATAATATTTTGAAGATATATAAATTCCCCATTGAACACCGGAACAATATACTGGGTGTTCCATTTAAAATAAAGGAAATAAAGACTAATAAGATAAAGAAGAAACTTGCTTTTAAAGGTAACTAATGTTCCATATTAATTTTGTCTTACCTTGTATATCTTTCCAAGTCAAATTTCACTTTGGTTTAACATACAATGGTTACTGTAATTAAATATCAGGTTGTTATCGAAATTTAAAATTTACTCTTCATTTTCACAAAATGTGAAATATGTCAAAATCCTTGGATTTTAGGTATATGTTTCTTTACTCACCTTTATTTTTTCCTAGAATCCGAAAATCAATTAATATATAGGGTGTTCCATTAGAAAAAACACAACTTTGATGTGTAACTTTTTTGGGGGACATCCTGTATAATTCTATATATTTTTATAAAATGCTTTCAGTTAACCTACATATGCTGCCAAAATTTAAGTTCGATATAAACTACCGTTCTCCTTGGAGCTTCCGCGGCGTATGAGAGGTACCACCCTGTATGTTCTTAATAAACCAACCTAACTCTACCTTTGACTGTACTGTTTTAGATTTTGTCGCCAATATTTGTATACTTTTCTGACTACTCTAAATATTTATTGTATATAGCAAGAATTATGGGTGGTATCGGAGAAGGATCTAGTATAGCTATTGTAGGAACTTACATTGCTGAAATTGCAGTACCAAAAGTACGCGGGGTCTTAGGAGGTTCAGCGATTATTCTCATTTGTATCGGAATGCTGACAACTAACGTAGTTGGTAAGATTATTTGTTTTATTACTGTATAAGAATATTTAGTTACAGATAATTTAAGCATTAAGACCCATCATTATAAAATTATAAAAACAGAAACACATAGTTGGAACTGTTAAAACCATGGAAAAATTCATCATAAAAACTTTTATGATCGTGCATGTTTTTTATGATGATAGAAAGACAATCGAATGGAAAATTATAACATAATAATAGTTTTAAACGCTAAACGAAGTGTGAGTTTTGCATCACAAGAACATTTTCTTTAGCACTCATTTTACAGAAAAAAAATATCATCACCATCATCAGAGCCATTACTCGCTGACGAGTATCTGACTCGCATCAGAAGATGGTTACGCAAGGCCTTATCTTTCATGAGCTTTTCTGTGACTGAAAAGCCCGATACGTGATGTTGTCTCTCTTCCGCACTTCGGACATACATAAAGCTCATTACTTTGGGGTCTCTTTACTTTTTGGTTGTCGTTGTTAACTGAGTTTACAATTCTTCTCCATTGCGTTCCTGTTGTGTGCTGATTCCTCCCACTGATTTTGCATGGTTATCCCCTTTAAGTTTTTATGGAAAATATCCTTGTATCTCTTGAGTTGTCCACCCGGTTTCCTCTTACCGTCTACAAGCTCACCGTAAAGAAGAGGTTTCGGTAGGCGGTTTTCTTGCATACGTGGCCAGCACATCTTAAGCGGGGTTTAGTAATCATGATTTCAGCGCTCTCGCAGCTACCTTTTTCAAGGGCCGATACGTTTGAGGCATGGTGATACCATTTAATTCTTAACAGTTGACTAAGGTGTCTCTGTTGCAACTTGCTTAATGCGTTCATTTACCGGCGGTAAGGCACCCAGGTTTCGCTTCCATATATAACATGGTGGGGATTATTATTGCTTGGTACACTGCAAGTTTCGCTTTTGTGCTCAAGTCATGATTGTAGAAATCCCTGTCTTAATTTCCAGAATGCTCTTGAGGCGTTACTAATTCTGTGCTGAATTTCAGAGTCGATATTGGCCTTTTCCGAAATCAGGTAGCCAAGGTAATTGAATTCCGCTACATATTCTAGTAGTTCTTTTCCGATTTTTACAGCATTGTTATGATTTTCCGGGGGAGTACACATGATTTTAGTTTTATTGGTGTTCAACTTAAGACCAAAACCTCGTATGCCCAGGGATATGTGTTCAGCATTTCTTGTAATTGCTGTAACGTTTTTGCAACTAGAGCGCAAGAAAAAAAAATATTGTTCTGCCAAATTTGAGTACTTATATTAAATTACAATTTTCAAACTATCGATTTTATAAACTTTAGTGATGTCTATTTGAACCCGTATAATTTTTAAACAATCACAATTATATTTTAGGGTCTTATATGTCGATAAAAGATACTGCTTTATTAATGGCTGTGTTTACCATTATATTTTGGATTTGCTTTATGTTTATGCCTGAAAGTCCGTATTATTACTTGATGAAGAACAAGGATGAAAAGGCCAAACATTCACTAAAGGTATGCTAAACTGTAAAATAATATTATACAATTTTATTTGATATTACTTAAAATTACTACAATTCCGATTGTAATTGATATTTTGTTCTTTTTTTTACTATACAGGGCGCGTCCCAAAAGTGGCATTCAGTCACTTCCTGTTTCACCGGAAATGACTACAAGTTTTGATTTTTATATGGCACCCTCGGTATATTTCTCTTTATTCGAAAGCAAATGACACTCTGAATAGAATGACATATCATATGTCAACTTTTGACATTTTCGCATATGGTTTATTTGAAATTGTAACACGCTCTTCATAACGACAATTTGACTCGAAATACCAAGTGTGTGGTATCAAATTTTATTCAAAAAAAAAAACTTTTTCCAAATATGCTAATGAGCCACCCTTGTTCCATTAAAAAAAGAGATATTATTAAAAATATGATTTGGGCATCTTTTAACCGGCCAGGACAAGACACGAAAAACATTAGACGATCAAATATATTTTTTAAGGCTCCTTTACTAAAAATTAGTGTTTTAAATTCAGCCATGACACTCTATGTCAATTCATTCTAATGTCATTCTTTCATAGTGTCATTCTATCGAATACAGCAGAAATATACCGAGGGTGCCATTTAAAAATCAAATGTTAGTCAATCAGTATCATTTCCGGTGAAATAGGAAGTGACTAAAAACAATTGAATACGTCTATCAATTCTAATTTATGTCATAAACTAACATATCAAATCTTGTTTTTTTATCTGAAACAATAAAAAAGTTATAGGGGTGAACCACTTTCGAAACGCACACAGTATGATATCTTGATGATTGTAGAATGTTTTTTTTATAATCTATTTTTTGTTTGTTAGCCTTTTTTTTGTTTTTTTGTATTTAACTTAGAAGAAAAATACCTAGTGTTAAAATGTAAAATAAAACTTCTGTGTTCTTTTCAGATCTTAAGAAGAAAATTTGACGTCGAAGCAGAGTTCGATCAATTATCCATATTTGTCCAAAAACAAATGGCGGAAAGAGGCACATTTAGAGACTTATTCTGCGTTCCAATAAACCGACAGATTTTAATATTGGTCACATTGTTAAGAGTGTTCCAATTTTTTACTGGCTATATGGCTCTAACATCTTATATTCAACTATTGATAGTTCAAACAACAAACTTAAGTCCAGTTTTTGGTTCATCTTTATTAATTGTAACTGGAATTATTACTATGATCTTAGCCCTGTTCTACATAGACAAGACTGGAAGAAGAACTATATTTCTTGTTTCCATGATCTTGTGCTTTTGCGCCCTTATTTCCATGGCGGTATTTTTATCTGTACGCGATTATACTACTGCAGATTTATCATCCGTTTCATTTATGCCATTGGTATTTGTAATAGCTTATAACATTTTTTATTTGGGTGGTTTGGGAATAGGGGTTAACATATACATTGCTGAAGTATATCCCAGTAATATTAAAGCAAAAGGTCTGGCGATTGCAAGTATAGTATATGCGATTACTCTTACAACTAGCACGAAGTTGTATCAGTATACTACCGATTACATAGGGGCGTCAGTGCCATTTTATATATTTGCTGGATCGACTGTTGGTGGAATTGCATATATTTATTTTGTTATTCCTGAAACTAAAGGGAAAACTTTAGAAATGATCCAACATGAGCTAAGAAAAAGTCGAAAAGCAGTTGAAAGTGAAAGATTTGAGCATGAGATGTATCCTTTAAATAAATAATAAAATTTGTACTTCATATACAAGGTGGCCCATTAGTGCAAGGAATTGCAATATCTTCGTCGTTGTCAAAGATATAATAATAATAATAACAAGTTTTTTACAGATGCTGCATAGTTTACAAGGGGGCATATCCTTGGCATATCCTAAAAATATTTTGTTGTATACAGGGTGTCACAAAAAAGTTATAATAAAGTGTTTTTAAATTGCATCCCCATTTTTCTGTACATAATAATCGGATTCACTATAAAACTGCATATAGAACGCTATTTTATTTAAAGCACTATGCTGTGTTGCCATTATATTTCTTATTTACTAAAACTTTGGTTAAAAACACTATATATGAAAACTACAGTTAATATACATTTATTATTACTTAGCCATGTTTTCTTAAACAAGAAGGACAACAAAATAAAATTGCAAAGGATAATTTACATTATCTTCATCGCAATATTTAAAATGCTATATCTCACTTTTTTTAAATGTAATACTTTGTATATTATTTTTACGTAAAATAATATACAGGGTATTATTGCATTTAAAAAAAAATGGCGCCGGGAGGCACGTATAGCCGCCCATACTAAAATATGTTAATAAAAAGTTGGTACGCAGTTCTTTTAGATTCAAAGTAAGAAAATTTTTCCAATTTTTTTATCTCAAAAACTGCGACTTTGACTGATTTTGATGTTATTACAAATTTTGTTGCAAATATTATTCCTAACCTTAAATTGAAAACCGCGTTTCGCTAGCTACTGTAATTTTGGAGTTACAATTTTTTAAAGTTTTTAACCCTCTCCCTTACCCCCTTACCAACCCCCCACCCCCATCAAAAACTAATGGCCAGATTCTCGGGTGCCACAGTATTTTTCTGCCAAATTTGGTTAAAATCGGTTTAGCGGTTTTTGAGTTATCGTGTTACAGACGGACAGACGGACAGACAGACAGCATGAAAATATTTTGTATTAAGGTCATTTATGACCCAAGTAACTCATTTTGAGTGAAATTAAAGAAACTTTTCTTTTGCCGATCTTAATAGGCTACCATACCTATTGGTATGGTCGGCTAAAAATTGAGATACCTATAGCATGTGTTAAATATTCTGATTTTGGTGACTCTATAAAAAACATCCTGTAGAGGAGTATGAACATTTTCTTTCACGAATTTATTCTGCTATCCTGGGTGTTTAGGAAAATATAGCAAAAAGTTTTAATATAGAAAGACTTTTAATATAGACATTATGTTTTTAACCAAAGTTTTAGTAAATAAGAAATAGAATGGTAACACAGCATAGTGTTATCGATAAAAATAATGTACTATATGCAGAATTTGATGCTGAATCCAATTATCTGAAGAGAAAAAGGGGGTCCCATTTAAAAAAAAATAAAAAAATTATCATAAGTTTTTTTTGTGACACCCTGTATATAACAAACTATTTTTAGGATATGCATCATTACAAACCATGCAACATCTATATATGAAACTTTTTTTCATATCTTTGACAACAACGACGATATTGGAATTCCTCGCATTAATGGGCCACCCTGTATGTTATTAGGAATTCCATATTACCATACCAGAAATAAAAGGTTCATGCCGTTTTTAAGTTTCAAAATTTCTATAAATCATAAAAATTTACGTACACCATCATAGTTCAATACATTGAATATTTAAAATTTTATATAATATATTCTATACTTAAATGTTAACCGCTCATTGTGATTATAGAACCTTCACTTTTCTTAACTTAATTAATAACAAAATTTACTGAACAGGGTACATTCTGTAAACTTTTTTTATATCTATGCAGCTAAAACGTTCCCTCATACAGTGGCGGATACAGAGGGGAGCCCATGGAGCCTGGGCCCCCCTAAAATCTGTAAATTGGGTTAAATAATATTAGCCTTTTGTGTTAAAAATGGCACCCTAAAAAGCATATTCTACATAATTTTTTTATTTGAGCCCCCCTAAAATGAATTTCTGTATCCGCCTCTGCCCTCATATATATGCTAAAATTCATAAAAATCATATATACTATAAACTATATTCTATTGAGTAATCACTTTGAGAAGATTGTAGTACATTTTGATCAACAATTTTTATGATTTAACGGGCTTAGTCTGAAAAATTACGCTAGATTTTTTAACTGTTTTTAGTCAAAGGTCCTATGGTTATAAAGTATTTTGATCAAAGAAGGTGGCTCAGTAGGTACTTAGAGTAGTAAAAGAAGAGTAGGTACTTAAATATACATAATATGTAAAATACTTAAATATACAATTATGTATAATATGTGATATTTGTATGTTAGAATCACAGAACAGATTAAAGACGATATTTTTTTGTATTTTCTCAGATTAGTAGGTACCTAAATAACGTAAGAAATATATGAATAAAACATTTATACTTAATATAACACTAAAAATTTGAATATGTATATATTTATGTCCTTACCTTTATTAATTTTGTTACTCCTAAAAGTGTTTCAAAACATTGTACAAAAATGAGAATGATTGGAGTTCGTTTCAACCCTTACTGATTTTAGAAATATGAAAAAAAGTGCAGGTAGTATGTTTCTACAGTAGCAATATTCCCATAAAATATCATTTCTCGTTGTTTTAAATTTTAATAATTTTAAAAATAGAAACATTATTTTTCCGCAATATTTGTATAGCAATATTCCCCTAATGATTTATTTTCGCACAACATTTTTATATAACACAACCTATCTTGATTTTTCCCACACTCCTCACACTTCACACCAATACATATAACACACTCTTAAGCACCCTCTACACTATGCCCGAAATATTTTCAGAAATATTTCGAGAAACATTTCGCGAAACATTTCTGGAAATACTTTCAGAAGTAAACTCAATGCTTTTCTTATGTTGCGGGGAATCTCGGTCGCAAACTCCCAAAACATATCGAAATAGAACACGAAATAGACCGAGACACGCCTTATAAACATAAGCCCGTGAGACACGGGCTTATATTTATCGTGCTATTTTGTACTATTTCGCGAAGCAATCGAGGTCAAACGTTGTGGTGGCTTCAGAAAAAAAAATAAGTGAAAAATATTGTAATTTTATTCCTGCAGTTTAAATGAAAAGTTTTGTTCTTAAATATCTACTAAACATAGTATAAACGCGTGTTCAAATATTAATTTTGTGGAATATATATCAACACAATACATCTGATGTAATTAAGGAAATATCGTAACAACAGCTATTTTAGAAACGCCTATTTCTCCTTATTTCTGAGATTTATGATGAAAAAAAAATCCTTTGACTCGGGCACAGATATCGCCACGTTTTCAAAACAGTTCGAAACGAAACGAAATTGACCCAGAAAACAGGAAACGCTAAAAATTCCCCCACGCTCTTCTCCGCAATTTCACGAGTAGTTTTTAGGCGCTTTTAAGAAACGAAAGTAGGCCAAGAACCAAAATAGGTCAACACAACTGGAAATAAACCGAAATGCGACAAAGTTGGGCGACGAAACGCGACCTTGACCTGCTTCGAAAAGTCCTCCGCATAGTGTAGAGCGTGTTTTAAAGTTTTTCGCATTTGTTATGGAGCTTCATGTTATGGAACATTCATGTTATGGAGCTTTCGCATTTGTTATGTATACTTAAATGACATTGCATCACAAATTTTTATCATAAACACTTTCTTAAAACTGGATTTATCTAAAACAATGTGATTTTAAAAATTTAACTACATCTTAAAACTCGTAATATGTAAAATATAAAGGATAGTGTAAAATAAAACAAACTGTTAAAATAAATTAACAAGTTTACTATTTTTACTTCAAATATAGACATCAAATTGAAATTGTTTAATAAAAAAATAAAAAAGTAAATAAAACATTGCGTATAACAAATCTTTCTGTTTGTAAAAATTTATAAAATGCACTACCATATACATTTACCAATTATTGTAAAATACTTAATTGTATTGTATTACTAAATTATTGGAGACAATTTTCTGTATCAAAGTTCACCTTTGGTGACGTAAATTGGTGTTTGGTGTCTAGAATTACATATTGCCATAAACGATTAGTTATGTTATTATAGTACTAATAAAATATTTGAACTAAATCGTGAAATATAAATATATCTAGTCAGTTTGGTCCGTAAATATTAATATTATGCAAAAATATATTACAAAGGTGAAACCTAAATTAATAATCACACGAAATATCTTTACGTTAAAAATCTTAACTTAGACAAATAATAAACACTTTATATAAATAAATTTCTACATAAACACAAATTAAGATACTCAGTTTTTTTATGAAGCACTATATTCTTTAAGTACAGTAGTTAATTTAATATATTATTATACGTTTATGATTTTGGTTATTCACTTAGCAAAAGTAAAAATGCTAATATCTATTTTACATCAAATGTTTCGACTAATCTCTTTTTCTCTAGGCCTTCTCACAATGACGGAAAGTAGTTACATCTTTTTTTGTCCTTATACACAACATAATTACTTGTATATCACGAATATACATTAAGTCAAACGCTGAGATTCCATTCTCGACATGAGATACCACGATAGTTATAAATGACAAAGAAATGCAAAAACTTTCACTATTACAACTTTGCCTGTCAAGATTTATTGTATTCTACCGGTGCTCACGTTGATAACTACTCTTTCACGACTATCCTCTCTACTAACTCCGTTCCTTCTGGGCGGCGAACTGCCAGGGTGTACCCTGCTTTTCCTACTTCTCTTAAATTTGGCAACATCCTCACCGAACACGTCACCAGTTCTTAATGCCGAAATGAGATCATCAAATTCGCCAGCCTTCGTATTATCTCCGTTCTTCAGGTTGATGTTTTTGTTGATAGCTGATAATATGCCTTCTAAAATAAACGATAGAGTGATATAATAATGGAATTATTACAGTACACAATATACAGGGTGTCCCAGAAATAAGTGCAACTGGTAGTATAGTTCAACCCCAGAAACACGCCTATGTGGTTTTTTTCGCAAAAAAATTTTTTTTTGAAAATTCGGAATTTTTTGAAAACTTTTTTGGACATTTTTTTATTTTTTATTTAAAGAAAATAATTTCTTGATAATATGGCAACATTGGTAGTAGATTAAATTTACAAGAAAGAAAATCCAGAAAAGATCCAGTGGTTCTCAAAATTTTAGCTAAAAATAATTTTGTTTGGAAATTTTCAAAGTAAAATAACTCAGTTATTTTGGACTTATTTGAAAAACGACAAAGAGAAAATATGTTTCTTTTATCGAGATCTACCACCCCTTAAAATATTTGCTTATTTCTGGGACACCCTGTATACAGGGTTGTCCGAACTGTATTCCGGAAACTTCGGCAGCATAATCTTCACATAAAAATAAGTGAAAAAGTTCGTATAAATGTACTTCCTAAAATGCTTAGTTTCGGAGATACAGGGTGTAGAAGTTTCATTTTTATTTCGATGTTTTCTAAATAATTTCTGAAGTAACGTCAATATTTGGATGAAAATTGGTGTCTGGAAGTTTTTTCACATGAGAAATTTGATTTTGATGTCAATATATCTCTTACTAGTAGAGGGCGCAAGGGTTTTTTTTATATAAAAACGTCGTATATGTATCTTTTTTTATGTGGTATTTTTATACAGGTACGGATGAAGAGTTATTACTCTTCAAACCGGTTAAATATTAGTAGATGGCGCCCCCTACAAGTAGGAGTCATACTGACATCATAATCAAATTTCTCATGTCAAAAAAAGTCCCAGACACCAATTTTTATCCAAATATTGACGTTACTTCAGAAATTATTCGGAAAAAATCGAAATAAAAAGGAAACTTCTACACCCTGTATCTCCAAAACTGAGCATTTTAGGACATACATTTATACTTATTTTTAACTGCAGATTATACTGCCGAAGTTAAGTATAAGATAGATGTAAACATTCATGTCCATATGATTAATACCTCGACTATGTTTTCTTTCCAAAGTCAGTTTCTTCAATTGTTCTTCTTGCTTTGCACGTTTTTCATCTTCTTCTTGCTTCCTCTTCATATTTTCGTTATCCTGCCGGGCTTCCATAAAAGCTATCAAAAAAGCGTCAAACACACCGAAAAATTCATCCGGTTGAGTATTAGATGGTTCTTCTCCAAATAATCTCACAGCGCGTTCAAATCTCGTCTAAAAAAATATATTTAATAATTATTTTTTATACGTCGACCGAAAAGATTAATTAATTTATTAATTAATCGAAAAGATTGATGAATTAATTTCGGGAATCGTGTATAAAACAATATTTTTTCCATAGCGAGTTACGTTTTAAAAAATATTCAGAAATTATTATTTCAAGGAATTTATTATGAGTAGAAAAAATATTGTGCTGGGTTGGCTTTGGTTTCTATGTAATTTGACAAATAAATCGTCCCATTGCTGCCAAAAGTCACTAACTTACTTTTTATTACTTTCGAGAAAAATGCGCCTAAAGATGAATTGCATTGCATAAAGATGTTATAGTTAGTAACTATACGGTATTAAAATAAAACATAAATAGCCAGAAATCGTAGTTAATGACTTTTGCAATCGATTCTCCGCTTCAAAACATAGTGATTGAATTTGGTTGTTCGGAAAAATGTTAGTTAATGACTTTTGACAGCAATAGGACGAAATAAAGCTGTCTCTTTAGTTCTCAGTTTTGAGTCAACATTTTTTAATTCTCTTTCGTGTCGACTGCTGATTGAATTGGAGCCAGAAATGGCGCAAAACTAAAAATAAGTAAATTACCAATAAATATTCAGGCTGAGACGACAAACGCCATATCCAAAGTACTTCCACTTAAATCCAGAATAACTTATGAAAAGGAATACAAAAATTTTCAAAAATGATGGAAGCAATTATAAAACGTGAGAGAAGAAATAAAGTTTTTAATCTATCCTTGCTGTTAAAGTATCATTTAATCTACCCTTGCGGTTAAAGTACCGTATGATCGAAAAAAAACGGCGTTCAGTTGGCTGGGAAATGAACGTCGATGACATTTCCCATATAAAATTTACATATAAAATGACAGCGATCTTCATTCCATAGCCATCGCTGACGCCGTTTTTTCTCGATCATACGGTACTATTTTATCTACTATTTTTGATAGATGTAAGGCAATTTTAACAGTTGCTATGGAAAAAATATAAAAAACATTATTTGTAAGAATAAGCATAGATACCTTCATATCTTGATATTGGTCTTCGATTTCAGCCAGACGACAGGTGGCAGTAGCTTGGAATTCTCTCATTACAGGAACAAACTTATCGTTGGCTAACGGACTTTGGCTTCTGTGGAACTCTATTTCTCTAGCTACGTCTTTTAATCCGGCTCTAAGTTGAGCCATGTCCTTGCTCAATTCTCCTAAGGAAACTTTGGCTGCGACACGAACGTGCGGTAGATCTTCGTCCAGTCGTAAAATATCTTTAAACTAAACAAGATATTATAATAAAAAATTGCGTCATGGTAATTTTCTATAGATTATCTTAAATCGGAATATCTGCTTTTATAAAAAAAATCGGTGTTGAGTTGAAAATCTATGGATTAACAACTATAATAAAATTTGGCTTAACATTTGTTTAGCTGAAATCAGGTATGTAAGAAATATTTGTTTATTTAATATTTGAAAGCCTTTTTTAATACACCCAGATGCAAAAAAACGCAACGGTGAAATTTTATGTCAAATTTAAAGTCTCATTTTTTTGTTATTTTTAGCCCTATTTTCATGAATTTTTTAGCAAGCTGTATACGGAGTGCGTCTCAAAAGTGGCTCACCCCTATAACTTTTTTATTTTATTAGATAAAAAAACGAGATTTAGTATGTTAGCATATGATATAAATTAGGATTGATTGACGTATTTAATTCTTTTTGGCCACTTCCTGTTTTACCGGAGACGACTACAACTTTAGATTTTTAAATGGCACCCTCGGTATTTTTTTACTTTATTCGGTAGAACATGACATTCTAAATCAAACGATATATCATATGTCAATTTTTGACATTCTTGCTTAAAACAAAATTGAATTTTAAATTTCAATCTAGAATGGCTATGTTAAAAACACTAATTTTTAATCAAGGAACCTTGGAAAAATAGATTTGATCGTCTAATATTTTTTGGTTTTAGATTTAGCGCTATTTTTACAGAAAATAAATTCTGAACTTTGATCAAATGACAAGAACATTATCATTGCCGATATCTCCTGGTTATAATGTAGTTCTTTTTTTTAAATATTGCATTGTTTTAGCTTAAAAAAAACTTGAATTATGCGGCTTTTTTGCAAGAGCTACCGGCGCTGTGTTAATAAAGAGGAAGAATAAGAATAAAAATAATTATATAAAAAAAATACCGGCCTAGCCAGTTTTACCTAAAACGTTAAATGCCGAACGCTTATTTTGCTACGTTTTCGGACTGGTGAAATAGACTCTGATATAATTATATACAGCTTGCTAAAAAATTCACGAAAATAGGGCCAAAAATAACAAAAATATAACACTTTAAATTTGACCAAAATTTTTTTTGCATTTGAATGTAGTATGTCACAAAAATTTTTCTCGGGAAATGCATAATTTTCAGTTTTTCAACTTTGGAACTGCTGAAATTAAGACTACTTTAGTATAGCTTTAATCAGTTTCGTAAGAAATATTTCTTTATTTAGTATTTGGAAGCCTTTTTGAATAGAGTCACGAAATTTTTTCTGCGAAAATGTATAATTTTCGTAAATTCGAATTTTTCATAATATCCTTGTAATATCCATTGCAAATATAAAAAAAACTCGATTGTCTTACCTTCTTTTCCAAAATTTGTACTAAATAGTGTAAAAGCGTAGTTCCTTTGGATAAACTAGACTTAGTATCGGCCAGCCTATTCAACGAGGCCAACCTGAATCCGGAAGCGTTGCCTCTAGCGCCCTTATTCATGTAATTTCCTAGCGCCAAAACGATTTCTAACAATCTCCTTAGACGTCTCGACCTCGACACTTCTCTGGACGCTTCCATAACGCTGGTTATCCTTGGGAGAATCTCGTTGAGGGTAACTTGAAAACGTTTCTTGTAATGTAAACTACGAAGACGCTGCTCGTAATGAGGAACTCTGAAACGTTTTATATTATAAACCAAAGTATACATTACTATTTGTTAAGCTATCGTTCAACGTCATATATTGTTCACGTCATATATTGTTGAACCCCCTGTTTCATTTGATCTGATTGACAACCAGATGAAATAGATTGGTGACGTCATTATGGCATTTCGTAAATCACTGAACATCGTTTTTAGTAATTGTCATTGTCATTTCATTATACAGCAAATTTATTATACAATTAAAATTTCCCAAATTTATTATTTTAGTCAAATAACTATCTACTCAACATGTTTATTTTTTGTCATTAATGACATGTATTGACTATTTCCATTCTAAATATCTTGAGAACGGTTGCTCGTAGCGATTTTTACCAAGAGACATTTTTTACGTGAAAAATCACGGAAATGTACATTTTTTCACTAAATAGTTTTATACAGGTACGGACAAAAAGTTATTACCCTTCAAAACAGTTAAAACACATGTAGGTCGCGTCCCCTACAAATAGAAGTGATATTGACATCAAAATCAAATTTCTCATGGCAAAAAACTCCCAGACAACAATTTTCATCAAAATGTTGACGTTATTTCAGAAATTATTTGGAAAAAATCCACATAAAAATGCAACTTCTACACCCTGTATATTCCAAACTAAGCATTTTAAGACATATATTTATACGAACGTTTTACCTTATTTTTATCTGCAGAATATGCTGCCAAAGTTTCCGGAATACAGTTCGGACCACCCTGTATATGTACAGGGTATTATGTACAGGATATTCTGTATATGTACAGGATGACGTCAGATGACATTTTTGAAGAGGCGTTAAAGTTTAGTACTTTTGTCTAGAATTTCGGTCTTAGAATTTCGTTTCGAATTGTCTTTCATTTGGAATAGTCATTTAAAAGTTATTTGCAAAAATCTACCTCCAAATTAGTAAAATGTATAATACGGACCATGCAGAGAAAGCTACAATTAAAGTACCAGCAAAAATGTGATTGTGCCATTGTCAAATTCGATGCCTACAAAAATTTGATTGAGGTACCACATAGAGTAATTTTGTCTAAAATAATTAAAATTTTTGCAAACACGGTAAATCCGTCATGCGTTGTTTTTAACCAGTCTTATTGGTTTATTTCAAAAATTACAGATCATATTTCAATATTATTGGTTTGACGGAACGATGAACGTCAAACGGACGTCGATACGTATGAACTGGACTGGGACTTTTGAGAGTTGTCAAACTCTTGCCAAATTATATAAATATAATAAATAAAGGCCTAGGATGCCTACATTAATTTAATAATAAAAACGAAACTCATTAATTTCAGAACGTACTTGAAATTTCACAAATAATATGAACTGATCTCAGACACACCCTAAAACGCATATTTGACAAACAATGATGACGTAATGTTGAACGATCGCTGAACAGACGTAGAAAGAATCTTTTCATTTCATTACTTTGATATTTCATATAAAAATCTATCTGCTCTGGCGAGTGAATCGATTTCATCGCTGTGCTCTTCAAGCAAAGCACATTCTTCTGGACTGGGCGTAAACTTAAGAAGTTGCTCGACCATATCGATGGGTAAATTTTCTTTACTGTCCATGCTGAGGATCGCTTTGGTAATGTCCTCGTCGGACATTTTTAGTTTGGATAAGAGAATGGTGCAGTTTTGGGCCCTTCTGCTATCGATAACGGAGAGAACCTTGGTTTTGTTCTTACCCAAAGTTCGAAGATCTTCTACGGACCCGTCATTCTGAAATAGTAATTCTTGTAGTACTTTATTTTTCTAAAACTGTTAAAAATATCTTACGGCTACTCCATTCTTCTGGTAAGCGCAAAACAACTTATCGATACTATCGAATTCCATAGCATTATACAATTTAGTATCGTCCAATTCATTCCAAATTGTCCCGCTCAATTTTGTTTCGGGTATTTTTGACCAATTGAAGGACTTCAGAGGATTGGACGGTTGTGGTATATTTTTCTTGATAATTTCAACCTAAATAAACACATGCAAAATGTTAAAAATAATACTTTATAATATAATGATTCTAAAACTCTAAGAACATTATTATATACAGCCAAACGGCCCGCATGCTGTTCCAGAGAGCATAGTAAAAGATATATCAAAGAGCCAGCTTTCTTAAAATACTTTCTTGAGATACTTTCTAGCTCGTAAGCTTCATTCAGAACCTCGCAATTAGTCAAATAAATTAGTGGTTTTAATTACACTTTACTTTTTAGTTTACGATCATTCACAACCAGAGAGAAACTAATAACTAAAGTGAGAGAGACCGATCAACGTTAATTTTTGAAGACTGTGTTAGTGGCGCGGCCTTTGGTGTCTAACACGAACTATGAGCGCATTATCGATATAGTAGGTTGCATTCATACCTATATACTGGCGCCAAAAATTTAAAATTCGTATATTTGAACCGAATATCTTTCAAGTTTATAATAAGAAATCTTCGTAGTTTTTTTAGATTATTTTGTTGACAACGAAAATTTATTATTAGACTTTAAAGCAATAAAACCTATAAATAAAATACTGTGTCGGAACATAATAATTTATTTAACTCAATACTCCTTGCCATACTCCTTGCCATACTCCAACTCAAGGCTGCAATCTTCAGTATCTTTTTTATGTAAATTGGTTGGGAGTGAACAGGGAAGCACGGTTGGGAGCTCGCACAGAGTATCAGTAGGTATCCCGTAGGTATTCAATGTTTTTGATAGTCTTTATTCTATAACAAGAACCTAGAAGTTGAAGAAAATAATTTGTATTGCTGGAAATAATACCAGGTATAATACCTAGTCGTTCCATAGGTATCAGAAAAGATTGTGATGTTTTAAATTAAAAAAAAATTAAATTAGCAAAATGTACGATTATTATGTGCACTCAATATTACTATTAGGTATGTTAAAATAATTACCGAGATAAAACTTACCTTTAAAGGAAACGTTTTGTCTGGGTCTCAATCACAAAACAAAAATTACAAAAATGCTGAATAATCGTGGAATCTGAAATAATCAATAATGACAATAATCTTCTCTTCTGACAAGCTAAAAGAACAGGCACATTCAGTCAAAAACAACTTATTACTCCGACTTGCTTCGATTATCAACAGATTTTAGTTATCTCCTTCTAGAACTAAGAAATAGAAAAAGCTACTGACAATCTAATTAATCCTGTCAAATGTTTAACTTGCAAAGTTGAAAACTTCCTTTTTTGACCGCGTAAACGCTATGCGCGTCTGGGATGCGCGGTGACAAAATAAACTTGTCTACGAAATGCCCTATTCCACAAGCCCTCTCACTTTAGTTATTAGTGTTCTCTCTGTTCACAACACAATTAAAATTAATATAATATCCTAGCAACAGCTTGCATTAGTGAGTTGTATCCATAGAGAAAGCCTAATAGCCTTGTATATGAATTTTTATAGTAGCTCAACCTAAGACGTTTATGGATGTAAAGCACCAGATGGCGGGGCTTCACAGTCTTTTACTACAGAAAAATATTTTTTGTTACTCTCAATTTTGAAGCGGCCAATAAAAACAGAGAAAATAAAAATCGATAATTTTCGGACTGTGCCAATTGGTTGCTAATCGACCAGATACTTTTTGTCTATTAGATATGCTATAAAAGCAGGTAATTATACAATTCGACCATTGTAAATACACGACAAATTCCGCAAGGCCGACGAGGCCGATGTTTTTCACTGATAAGAAATAAAATGTTTGTTTAGATAATTTTCGAGATATTTTTTCTTTCTGAATGCACATTTTAAAATATTTTATATTCTTTGACCGCTTGATCTACATACTGGTTGCACGTATCGAAGTTTTGTTTCTTGTAGTTTTAAAACATTTTCTTGTTTCTTTGTAGTTTTAGTAAAATTAGATTAATTTATTAAATTTGATTATAATGTTTAGTGTAGACTACCAGAAGTAATTTAGTAGTGTTTTTATATTTTATTTTGAATTTAAGTAGTATAGGTGAAGGGGTAATTTGGTTATTTTTTCTTTATGTTTGATTAATTAATAAGTTTGATAATTTGTTTAGTGTAGAATACAAGAAGTAGTTTGTGTAGTGTTCTTGTAAGAGATTATATTCATTTATTTTCGAGTTGAGTGTTGAGTAGAAGGTGAAGGTATTTGGGTATTTTTTTCTTTTTGTTTTTCTTCTAAATAATTGTAGTAGTTCTTTTTAAATATTGTGATATATATATTGAGATACATTATAATCTTCCTTCAACTTCGTTTAAAGTGCGTTATCATATAATTTTGGTTCTCTGGTAGCTGAATATATACGAAAAAAAATCTGATCAAATTTTAAATTAAATTAATATAGTCTTATTAATCAAATTAAACTAGTCAAATAATATTAATTGCAATCAATTATTAAAAAATATTTATTATTTTGGAAAATAAATTTTGAAATGGAGTATTATTGATAAAATTTAGCCAAATTTTTTCTTATCTTATCATTTATCACTGTATAATAACTTTGTTGTGGCAGAAAAATATACCAGTTAGTTTCAAAATATTATTTTTTTAAACGTCATAAAAGTATTAATTTTTGCGACGTGATTGACAATATAAAAAAGTCATTTTATCGCCTAGGCATAAAAGTACAGTTTTACACCTAAGCATAAAAGTATGAAAATATATTATTAAAATGACATAAGTCTCAAATTCAACGAGCCGTAACCATAGTTTCTCGATATATAATTACTCATGGTAAAACTTGAAAACAAGGTATGATCGATAGCGGCTCCAATTTCGTTCAGTTTGCGCATATCGCCTGTGACGTCATATGCCATACAAAAAATATCCATATTGTTCAAACGCCACTAATAAAAAAGACCTAAAATAAGTGAGAATAATGATATAACCCCTAAAGTTATGTAAAATCATCGAGCTTGACATTTGAAAAGTTATGACACATTATACACATTTATTATGTGTCATATGTTTGAAAATTTGAAATTGACGACCAATAGTGCCGTTTATCACCTGTGACGTGGTGACCAACCTGCGCAATATCATACCTTGTTTTCTCTGTATCATAATAATTACTTACAAGGTATGAGTTTTAAATCTTTTATATTATTTGGAACGGTTGAAATTGTTTAAAAATTATTTGTGGCGTTTGAAAAAAATAGCAAGCTCTATTCGGAGTAAAAATGACTTTTTGTGCTTCGGCTGTATGCCAAACGTACAGTCTCGCCATGCATGCACGAAAAATGTCATTTTACTCCTATTTTATCAATAAAACAATATACTAGAAAGTTTTATGGTTTAACGGGCTTTGTGAGTTAAAACATAATGATATTTTCAGTTTCTATAATTCTTGATCGAAAATAAACGGCGTCAGCGATGGCTATGAAATGAAGATCGCTGTCATTTTATATGTAAATTTATATGGGAAATGTCGTCGATCGTCATTTCCCAGCCAACTGGACGCCGTTTTTTTTTCATATGGTACAAAGTTAAAGCAAACTTGACTGATCATGTTTTACGCTAAGAAAGTTTTATTTCGTGTAATAAAGATTTGAATGGTATATTAAGTATCTACACAATATTTATTTAAATGTCAAATAATATTATTGAAGCAAGTGCCAAGTTTTATTTTTAATTAAGAAAAAATTTAATCAAGAATGTATAAAAGTTTTGTTTTCAAAAAAAAAAAATTATCGTAAATTCGTAAAACCTCAATTTAGAATAAAATGTTCTAAGAATGAAATAAAATTTTATAGCCCTGTGTCAAATCGAAATAAAGTAAGTGTATGTAACTTTTTTTAAATATTAATAATTACCAGTAATTAGCAAATGTACCAACATATTGAAATAATAATTTCTATGTTAATACGGTTTAGAATCCTTAAAATAACGGCAAAAAATAATCGAAAATCAACAATGAAATAATAGTTTTGTTTAAATTTCTTAATCAGCTGAGCTCTATTATAGTTCGCAAAAATCCGAGCTATATTATTACATTACTCTGAGGGAAATACCGCAAATAATCGATATTTTTGACTCCGCCCCTAAGGTTGACCAACTTTAAGAATATATAAACAAGGCTAATAGTTAGCCTATAAAACAATCATTGATTTCTAACCACAATTTCTCTTGACGGAAGATAATCAAAGGCCAAAATTACATTTCTCGCCTTCTTGAGGTATCTATAATTAGTGGAAATGTTTTATAATTTTTTCTACTAACTGAAAATGTTTACCACAATTTTGGAGTTCTGAATGCTTACATTGAAATTAAAGGAACAAACTTCTCACGCTAATTGAAACCACTAATTTATTCCACTAATTGCGAGGTTCTGCATAAAGCTTTAGACTATATTGTTCGTTTCATAAATGTAATAAAGAAGGAATGAAAATGGTCTGTCGTGATGATGAAGAGATATCCACCTAGGGTTGCATTAGACCATGGACAAACTATAATTGGATTATACCTTTAGTGGTTCAACTGGAGGTGCCATTGGAGCACACGGAGGCGGTGGAGGTCCAGGAGGGCCAGGAGGAGGTGGCGGTGGTGCTAAAGGAGGTGGTGGAGGTGGCGTAGACAGTTCCATTTTAGAATCACCCGATCCATTAATATCGATGATAGTCTTATTAAGTCCTATAGCTTTGGTGTCGTCAGGTATACTGCCAGAGTTAACTAATCGTTCTAAAAAAATGCGAGAAAATATATATTTCAATTTTATAAAATAATAATGAGTTAATTCATACATACCTAATCTAAATCGTTCTCCTCTTTCACAATTGACTTGTCTGTCTAACTCCGCTGCTTTATATTCAACTTCGTTTAGTTTTTGTCGAGTTTCTATATGAGCTGCCGTTTCTTTTTCTAGCCTTTCTTTAACCCTGATGAAATAAAAATATCGTTAGTTTATTTTTATATTAATAACGTTTCTAATTGAAATAAAGTATCTTCTTGGACTGTCATTGTCTTAAACATTGTATGTTAAAATGTTTAAAATTGCATAAATAAAAAAGTAAATATTTTGATATCTTCGGAAGATCTTACTTGTATTATAATTTATTATTCAAGCTAATAAAGCTTTTTAGATGAGTTCAGCTACGGTAGCTAGCATTGTTTTACTATTGTCTATTCATAATCAAGGGTTTTGCTATTAGTGTATAACTGGGGCTATTTGGGCTATAACAAATTGTTTTAAAGGTACTCCCATAGTGTATGTCTATTTAATTTTTTGATTATGTAACTTTGCACTTTATTTATTCACCTTCCCACTTGTTTCGTTGAACTGATTGACTCCATTTTCGCTTTTGATGAAATCGGTATGAGAATATCCGGAAGAGTGGACTTATTGAATGTTATTGCACCCAGTAACCACGTAACTACGCTTTTCTTTACGTGTTAACATTTTTTCGTCAATTTTATTCTCATTTGAAATTGTCAAAACATAATGCCTCACCCAGTTTAGGTTCTTTTTCACTTGGTTTTTATTACCCGAAATAGCGTTATATCACACAAACTTCTTATGTGAGAGTTTTACGGTTTCGATAACTACACTAGTAAAATCTAATATTATTTACATGTACGATAAAGCCAGGATTTTAATATTATTTCAATGCGATCAACATCGGATCTGCGTGAAATGCAGAGCCGAAAACTTCTAATTTCTACCGTATTGAGCGCTACAATCGAAATTATTAAAATCAACTGAAATGTAACAATCCTATAGGGACAATCACGCCTAACTAGGCTTATTGCTAACTTACTTTGGTCTAAGTATGAGTTTCTATAAGAGAAAATTTTGTCAAGGAAAAATGACGGTAAATATTATACAGGGTGACAATTTGAAATCGAACAGTATTTAATATTGCCTCTACCGATGATAGTATGAAAATTTGGCGAAACACGTCAATTTATATATCAAGGGGGACAATTTTTGAGGCATTTGTTGTCGTGTTACTTTCAACCCCTTGACACCCAGGCTACCTACCCCTAAAATTTTAAATAGCAACCCCTATTTATTTTACCATTTTTGTGTTTCTTATGGAATTCTACATAAACTGCATTATTTTTTTTTCAAATTGTCACCTTGTAAAACAAGTATTATAGGTAATATAAAGCAATTTTCCTTTTGTATAGTTATACTTGACAACATCGATTTTATTGCTCCTTTCGCTGCTTCAGATCTGTTTGTCAGATAATAATCATACATACAAATCATAATAGCGTATGACATTTCAGCAAATGATGATAATGTCAGTCCAAGAAGGAAATTTTCAATCAACGATATTTTCAATTATTTACCTCACTAAACTTGATTCAATGTCTTCTTTTTCCTGCGTTCTTTGATCCAACTCCTGTTCCTTTTTAGCTAAACGATTTGACATATCCAAATTCTCTTTTTCGAGTTCTTCTGCCTTTTTTCTGGCCGCAACCAGTTCTTCCTCCTTGGCTAACAAATGGACTATTTCCTTTACGTTTATGTTAATAGGAGACACATCGGCATCTTTTTTTCCTAGAGAAAAAACAATTTATTAATTTATTTAGTTATTTCATTTAGTATCCTTTTTAGCGGGTTTATTTTAGTGATTTTTTTGGAAGGTGCTTATATATTGCAGTAGATAGTATTATTATTGAAGCAAAGGATGGCTTCCTTAATACGTCTAGACCTTAACTTAAGTTAGCTGTTTTTTTAATTAGACAAACGGAAAACCCACTTAAACACAGCACAACGAGAAACTACTTCGATAAACTCCAATAGACAGACGATATCTCTAAACATTGAAAGGCATTTCATTATGATAGTATACCGGGTGTTTCTCAAAAGTGGCTTACCCTATAACTTTTTTTTTTCAGTTCAAACGAATACAACTTTGATTTTTAAATGGTACCCTCGGTATATTTTTACTTTGTATTATAGAAAATGACATTCTGATTTTTAATTAAAAAATTAGCATTTTATATTTCAATCTAGAGTGGCAGGATTTAAAAAAAAATTAACCAAAATTCTTTGGAAAATAGACTTGATCGTCTAATATTTTTTGTGTTTTCCTGGCTGGTTAAAAGATGCCCAAATCGTATTGTTAATCATAACTCATTTTTTTTTCAAATGAAACGACGTTGGCTCAGTAGCATATTTGGAAAAAGCATTTTTTACGAATAACTTGGTACCACATACCTAGTATTTCTAGTCAAATTGTTGCAATATTTATGGCCATGGCACTCTAGATTGAAATTTAAAAGGATATTTTTTTTAATTGAAAATGTCAAAAAAAAGCATATGATATGCCATTCTATTTAGAATTTCATTTTCTATCAAATAAGGTAGAAAAATACTGAGGGTGCCATTTAAAAATCAAAAGTTGTAGTCATTTCCTGTGAAACAGGAAGCCAACGAAACTAATTGAACACTAGGTTAATCAATCCTGATTTATGTCATACAAAATCTTGTTTTTATCTGAAAAAATAAAAAAGTTAAGAGGGTGAATCACTTTTGAAAAACACCCGGTATTATGCCTGTATAGATTTACTAGCTGTTTTGAAAAGCAAATATTTAAAAAAAAGTATTTCTCTTTAATTCCTAATAACAAAAATTCATAAATATACCTGTCTCGTCAGATTGTTGCAAAATAATCTGTTGCACTATCCTGTCGAACAACAACCAATGCTGAGGATGCGAGCCATAATCTAAAGGAAGAAGTAAACAGTGTTCTAGCAAGGATAATAGATGGGGATAGGCGGCGGTATGACTGAGTTTCCGCCTGATCAGATCAAACATGGCGGTGGCACTTTTTGTATCGACATGTTCTTGTTGAAACTTCTTCGCCAATTCCTTTTCGTCTTCGTTTCGTACCATTTCGAAAAAATCCAAATGTCTGTCCAAAGTCTCGTTTTCGTGGCGTCTCAACTTGTCGATAATCGGCTGAATGCCCAATAATAGGAACTCATATCGCAAATGTAACCTGAAAATTAAATAATACGGTAACTCTTCAATATTCTAATTAATATACCCCACATATTTCATATGGGGTATTTTAATACCCCACAAATTACATGTGGGGTATTTTAGTACCCCATGAATTTTTTAACGATATTGTGTAGGTGTGTGTGCTAAAAGAGAGTCGGCAATCACGTCATCTGCATTTAGGAAATACTTTACTCAACATCCTTTTGTAGATGTTGAGGAACCAGCAAGTTCTACTAAAGTACATGATCTTGAAAATTACATATGAAAGAAAATGTCAAAAAATGGCAAAGCAAGATGTAATTTACATCCTAGAGAGTATGGCAGGAAAACTCAGTTAGCTGCCCCAAATGCAACTTAATGGATACGTAAAATCCATCAACAAATGAGCCCAAAGCAGGTTCTGACTCCGCAAAGTTCGGCAGTTAAGCTTCATTAAGAACCTCGCAATTAGTGCAATAAATTAGTGGTTTCAATTAGCGTTTCTTACGATAGGTCCAAGATCATATCCTTAAATATTAGCATGTCATTAAGTACCACGTTTAAGTAGAAGATAGGTAAGGAGAAGAGAGTTTGTAAACTTTTTCTACTAATTGAAAATTACTCCTCCTAATTTTGATGTTTTGAATGCTTACATTGAAATTAGAGAGAAACTTCTACGCTAATTGAAACCACTAAGTAATTTATTCCATTAATTTCGAGGTTCTGCTTAAAAGCATAAGACCACAGCAAAGAGGGCTTTAGCTTGGACTTGTATTTGCATCACTTGATAAAAAAGTAATTTTGAAAAATTGAACAATGCCTACCTAAATTCGAGGTTTTCTTGTCCAAGTCCGTAATTCAATACAGCATTTACAAAAGACATTATGGCCGTTTTCAAATTAACCTCGTCCATGTAGATCCCAGTGGACCGGTCCAGATCGTTAATAATTCCCTGGAAGCGGGTACGCTCGAAAGCGTACTTCTGATAATGTAGCATGGCATCCAGAACTTTCTTGTGTCCGCCCGAAACCAAACACACTGCTCCCAAAATTTCCAGGACGGCTATCTTGGTCTTGATATTATCTGTGCTCAGGGACTGGGCTATGATGTTGATACTGGTAGGATGTGCCAAGACGTGTGCCCTTCCAATCTAAAAGAATACTTTAAAACAAACTGAAATATAACATTGAAAATATCTTACAGAATTATTCATCAAGGCCTTCACACAACCAATTATGCCTGTGTGAATGGAACTTTGGGATGTGGAATAATCCATTCGCTCCAGGCAGTCCAGAAGAGCTTGCAAGCCATCCAATTCGATAAATTTTATGACAAAGCTGTGCGTAGATGTTCTTAGGGCTGTTTTTAGAGCGTCTATTTGTTTTGATCGGTTTCTCACTTCATCATCTATATTACTTTCAGGATATTGCAACTGGAAAAAATATATTATTAGTTGTATTCAAGATTTGCCTATTAGGGCAGTGTAATATAAAGGGTGTTTCTGAATAAAGGTTGATTTTCACTCTACCTTCCATATCAGCTCCTTTTCGTTTCCCTTCCGTTTACATAAAATATTATATCATGTAAATGGATAAGACAATGCCCGTTTCATTTCCCTTTCGTTCCATATCCCTTCCTTTCGCACATTTTTTTGGCGGACGAACTGAAGTGTATCGGAAACAGTATTGTCAAGTTCTTATATTTGTAACAGCTCTGCTAATACTTTGCTGATATTTATTCATTTTTTCACCTCTTAAATAAATCTATTACCATTTTCAAAAGATACAAATTTTTAAAATAAAACTTTCGTAATGATATAAATTGTACAATAAAAAGTGTGGAACTGATACAGAACGGAAGCTTACGTATAGCGTCAATACAATAAAAAATACGAAACGGATATGGAATGGAAACGAAAGGTATAGTGAGAATCAACCTTAAGTGTCCAATACTTTACAGGGTGATTTTTCAAGTATTTTTAAGGAAAAAAGTTCTTCCCATAGAGGATGAGAGACATTGCCGTTGGCGGGGAAGCTCCTAATCAGGTGCTAGGGGGAATTTCCTCTAGGACTTTGGCTGAGTCTAATAGTCCAGGGCAATAAGAGTGCCCCGTAGAACAAAATCCCCTAAAGCTGATTTTTTGTAGTTAGTTACTCCGACCGAGACAGCACGAACCACCCCAAAACCACCCCTAAGGGTACAACTTTTTAGTTTTTGCATCTTCGATATAGTTAACTCTATTAAGAAATTCTAGTTCTCAAAATTATTGTTTAGAAAGATACCTACAGAATAGTATATATAATTTCCTGATTTGAATAAACCAGTTGCGTGCAATGAGGGCTTAAAACTCGCTAAATTTAACTCGCTAAACTCAAATCCGTGGTTTATACAGGGTGAGTCATAAATAAGTGCAAAGTAAAGTTTTTAAGGGTAGTATATTTCGACCCCAGAAACCCGTCTATGAGGTTTTTTTCCGCGAAAAAAAATTGAAAATTAGGATTTTTTTTAATTTTAGGTTAATAAACATAATATCTTTATAATATGACAACACAGGTGTAACAGATTAAATTTACAAGAAAGAAACCCCAGAAAAGAAGCAAAGGTTTTCTAAATTTAAACAAAAAATATTTTTTTCTTAAATTTTCAAATTATAATAACTCGGTTATTTTGGAGTTACATATTTAAATAACGGTAAAGAGTAAAGACCAAATATATGTTTCTTTTATCGAGATCTATCATCAGCCCTGAAAATATTTGCTCTTATTTAAGACTCACCTTGTATAGCAAATAATGCTCTTAAATTTATTTTTAAAACAAAAATAATAAAATATTAAGGCGTTGTAATATATATTTTCGTGCAACAAGTATTTAAAAGTGAAACCAAGTTTCAAAAATAAGGTACCGATATGCAGTAATTTTAAATGATTTGACATATTTTAATGCAACTAAAATATTAAATCTTTTAAAATATATAATGCAATCTCGTCAAAGAGTATTTGTTTTAAAAAAAATCGTTTTATAAAAATTTACGTAAAATAAAATTTCTACGAGACACTTAAGTAAATAATAAAATATACTTCCTCTCATTAAGAAAAATTCGATACTACATATCATCAACTTACACTTGAAAACTAAATTATCGTTTTTCATCGTCTTCCGGTAATTTCAGAATTTGAAATACATTAGTACATGGCTGTCTTTGACATTATCCTTACAGATTTACAGTTGCGAAATATTACTTTCTTCACTGCAGTTGATTAAAACATTAAGGCTTTCCTAAATCTGAAGAGAAGGCTTGTACCCAGGCTTGTACCACATTTCATAAAAATATGTAGAGTGGTTCCGAAGATATTATGAAAAAATATTTTTAAAACACATGTTAATATGAACTTTTTACCTTAAAAATACATGAAAAATCAACTTGTGAAATATAGGACACTTATTCAGGAACACCCTATATAACCGTTCGACAGTTACATCTACTAAACTTAATTGTATTTTATAGGTACATATATTCTTACCGTGGCTAGTGTTTTCAGTCTTTCAATGTAGTGTTCTGGCATATGTGCTTCGTCCAAAGTGTCTTCGCCACCTTTCCTTGAACAGTAGATCTGCCATTTCTTGTGTGGTTCCAGGCTTAACATAGTAGCTTTTTTGTCGCTTGACAGATCTAATTCTTCCTGTAAATAAAAGATAGATAAGCAATAACAGAAACTCAATAATTTCCAAAGTTTGGAAATAAATCGATTGAAAAATTACGGTATTCTTCTTAACGATCAAATGAACCTAAACAACTTTGCATTGCTAAATTTATTTCAGTCCTAAAACCATCTGTGTAGATTTCCCCAACTTAAATAAAATTCTAAAATAAATATAAAAAATGGTTGTTAAATGATGTTTACCTCTAAAATGTCATATTCTAATGCTTAGCAGGAATAAAGTGGGGATTACAACAGGCCTCTTGACAGGACACATGGCTGTCAAGTGTTACCTGAACAAGCTCAACCTATATCAAGGAAGTCTTTGCTACAGATTCTGCGATAAAGATCTTGAAACAGCGGAGCACATAATAATATATGTCATTGCGAGGCTCTGGATCGCAAGCGATACTTTTTATTTGCGGGAAAGCTAGGCTAGAACCGGAGGGACTATGGTCCCATCCTATCAAGGACCTGCATAAGCTAGTGCAGAGCACAGGGATAGAAGAATGGGTACAGATATAGAACGGGGACAAACACAATAGGCCTCACAGGTCGCAGTGTTTCCGGCGGAGGACGGCCCCTTGTTATGGAAAAAAAATGTCATATTTGTAAAAGTGTCGAAGCGCGTGACAATTGCTAATACAGTTTAATAAAATGGAAATTTAGACAACGAAGTCTACGTTTTAAATAAATTTAAAATTCATTCCCATCAAGTATCTAAAGCTCAGAAATTAAAATATACAGGGTATCCCAGAAATAAGTGCTAATATTTTAACTGGTAGTATAGTTCAACCCCAGAAACACGCCTATGAGGTATTTTTCGCAAAAAAAAATTGAAAAATGGAAATTTTTTGAAAAATTTTTTGGATTTTTTTTAGTTTTTAGTTAAAAAACATAATTTCTTGATAATATGGCAACATAGGTATTAGATTAAATTTACAAGAAAGAAAATCCAGAAAAGATCCAGTGGTTCTCAAAATTTTAGCAAAAAATCATTTCTTTTAAATTTTCAAAGTAAAATAACTCCGTTATTTTGGACTTATTTGAAAAACAATAAAGAGAAAATATGTTTCTTTTATCGAGATCTATCACCCCTTAAAATATTTGCACTTATTTCTGGGACACCCTGTATATTTAACTTAAGAGATTTTGTCATTCGTTTTAACACTTCAGTTTTGTATTATGAGGTTGTCATTTAAATGAATTGCGTTGTGATAATTTAAGCTTAAAAATGTTAGAACTAATTAGAACTTCCTTTAAAGCGAAGTGTACAAGACAACTTAATAGCCGTTGCATAAGACTCATTGCAAAAAATATTGAGAATGGGAAAGCGGTAGTAATGGCCCTTTATGCCGCTTAAGTGCTGTTAAGAAAATGAGTTTTGTTGATGTAAATAATAACTGCTTATATAATTATAATTAATTTATTTTTCTTTCCTAAAATATTTGTATTAAAAGAAAATTTGCAAAAGTGGGCAACGCTGTGCCGGTCAAGCTTGACAAAAATTTTATTTGTATCAATGTGATCGAAAAAAAATTGACGTCAAATGTCGTGGTGACGTCATTGACGTAGCTTGGAAGTGACGATCCATATTTACCATAAAATTGTATACATAAGATAAAAGCAATGCTCATTTCCAAGCTAACTCAATCGCAGTTTATTTGTCGATCGTACTGTACAACCAGATTTGTTACTAGAGAATATACGAGATGATTAAAGTGTTCTGAAAATAGTTAGATTTATCAATTAATAAAGGGTTTTGTCTATTTTTTTCCAGAGCAACTGTTACAATTGCCTTATATCTATCAAAAATAGTAGATAAAATAGTACTTTAACCACAAGGGTAGATTAAATGATATTTTGACAGCGAGGATAAATTAAAAACTTTAATTCTTTTCGCACTTTTTTTAATTGCTTCCATTTTTGAAAAATTTTGTATTCCTTTTCATAAGTTATTCGGGATTTAAATGATAGTAATTTGGATATAGTGTTTGTCGCCTCAGCCTGAATATCTGTTGGTAGTTTACTTATTTCGTTTTGAGCCATTTCTGGCTCTAATTCAATCAGCAATCGATACGAAAGAGAATTAAAAAAATATTTACTCAAAACTGACAACTAATGAGACAGCTTTATTTATTTGTCAAATTACATAGAAACCAACGCCCACCCAGCCCAATATTTTTTCTACTCGTAATAAATTCCTTGAAATAATAATTTCTGAATATTTTTTAAAATGTAACTCGCTATGGAAAAAATACTGCTTTATACACACGACGATAAAATTGCATTATCGTCTCCCGAAATTAATTCACTGGCGATAAAAAATAACTATCTTTCTGCTTCTGACGACGGGAGGAGTTATATCCTTATAGGTTGTCTTTTGTTGGCAAATTTCTTAGTAAAAGACACCGAGAAGTTGGTTCCTGTTAAGGTGCGTACAGACCTGACGAGACAAGTGCGATAGGAAAGCGACGCGAGAGCGAGACGAGCGCGAGACCAGCGACTTTGACAGTCTTCCTGCCCTTAATCATTTTTAATTTTTCGCATACCCTGGTGATAAATGGCATTGGTGAGCCTTTTTTAACCATTTCATATCCTCATTTTACTCGTGTGACTCTCGTGCCCAGGTATATAGGCTAGACGTTAAATACTTTTAATATTCTATTATTCCTTCACGAAATACCATCTTCTAGTGACGATTTTGTTTTATCAATTGAGCGAAATAGTGAAATTAGAGCTTGGTTTTACGTTTATATCTTTCCATTAGTTTTATCAAGTCATTAAAATAGCATCTAACAAAAAGATGCAAAGCACCTTTCCTAGTAATGTTTCGTGTCAAGTCTTAAACGATTCCGATTGAGCTGATATATCTTTACGAACTACTAAGCGCCTTTTACCTGTCTCCTATTAACGCGACGTTAGGTTTGGACAGTAAATAAACGTTATTCGTAACTTTTCTACTCTACGCCATGTATCCTATGCGAGATATTTTATTTCTTTGGTTGAAGTAGTTAAACGAACGGTGAAATTGCACTGGTACGCGATAAACGGCGGCGCTTATTCGATGTTTGAATCGACATTCAAATCGATCGGCTTCGAGATTTAAGTAAATATTTTCGATTGCGCTTTCTACAAGGCCCCCGAAAAAGATCTCCAAACAAATCTTTATTTGCCGCTCGAGAATTCCGACTCTTATTTACTTTATTTGGAGTGACAATTTTAAAATACCGGGTGCGTCTCAAAAGTGGCTCACCCCTATAACTTTTTATTTTTTCAGATAAAAAAAACGATATTTGGTATGTTACGTTTGGTATATTTACGAGATTTCGTATATGACATAAATTATGCTTGGTTGACGTATTCAATTGTTTTTGGCCACTTCCTGTTTCACCGGAAATTACTACAACTTTTGATTTTTAAATAGCACCCTCGGTATTTTTTTACTTTATTTGATAGAAACTTCTCGCTTAATAAAAAATTGTATTTTAAAATTCAATCTAGAGTGTTATGTCATGGCTATGTTAAAAATACTAATTCTTAATCAAGAAGCCTTGGAAAAATAAATTTGATCGTCTAGTATTTTAGTGTCTTGTCCTGGCCAATTTGAAATTGCATAAATCGTATATTTATAATATCTCATTTTTTTCAAATGGAACGAGGGTGGAAATTTTGCCTAGATAACGGGTACTATAAATAATAGCTTCATAATCTTCAGTAAATTTTGAACATTTTTTGTTAGAACCATTTTCCAGTATCTGTTAAAATAAAGTGGGGGAACGTTAGATCTATCTTTATTTAAATGGTAATAACTCCGGACTGGATTTGTTGATAAAAGCTTCAAATGTCAGCATCAGTCATTAAGATCTTAATATAATAGTAAAATCAGATTTAATAACAATAATTGAAACTTGTTTAGAACAAAACTATTTTCAGTATAACAATGAAATATTTAAACAGAAAGATGGGTTACCGATGGGTTCCCCAATTTCACCGTTATTCGCAGAAATATTTATGGCAGATTTTGAAAAGAAGCTATTTAAAAACAAGAGTATATAAATTTTTAGCTGATAGTAAGAGTAATAAAGCTTCAAATGTCAGCGAAAACCGAATCTTGATAACCTCTTTCAAACCGACGATATTACTAAAATTATAACAAATACGAAAAATAAGCCCTTAATTACCTTATTCTTATAACACGGTTACAGTAGCTCTATTGGTTGTGACCATTCTAATAAAAAATAAGATAGAAACCATTAGTTTATTCTAAAATCGACAATATACCAGAATACCATAATGCCAGATGAATTAATATCTAATAATTAAGATATCAATGACAGTGAAAAAGAAACGACGCCTCGGTGAAGTCATGGTAGGCTTTGGAAAAAATTGCTTTTGAAGTAATAGTATAAACGTCAAAGTGTTATTAGATCAACATTTTGATAGTCTTAGCAGCGTTTTTCCTCTTTTGAAGAAAGCAATGAAAAAATAGAAACGCTGCTGAGACTATCAAAATGTTGATATAATAATATTTGGACGATTAAACTATCCCTTTAAAAGCAACTTTTTTCCAAAGCCTACCATGAATTCATTGAGGCTTCGTTTGTTGTTCATTGTCATTGATATCTTAATTCTTAGATATTAATACACCTAGTATTATGGTTTTCTGGTACCGAGTCTGGTACATTGTCGATTTTTTTTAATAAAATATTATTTTTTTATCTTATTTTTTATTAGAATGGTCATTAGCAAGAGGGGTAGTGATACCGTGAAAAAAAACAAAGAAATAAAGGGCTTGTTTTCCGTATTTATTATAATTTTGCTAATAACTTTGGTTTGAAATAAGATATCAAGATGCGCATTTTAAGCTTTTATTACTCTATAGTATCAGCTAAAATTTCATATACTGTCGCATTTAATTTTTTTGAAAAAAAAACGCGTAATGTTTGTTAAATTATAAGACAGCGCCCCCTAGCCTCTAC